CAAAACAGTCAATGAAGACGAAGAAGAGAATGATGTGTGCTCCCGGCGCCTATTTATACTATAGTCGCACCGGTAGCGACGTCATGGCTGTCGCCGGCCAACGAGTTGGTGTTTTTTCAATGTATGCTTCAGACACGGGTCACGACGAGGCGTTCCCCCATAGTGACCCCTAGAGGACGCAGTGTCTCGTTCCCTACTCAGGGAACCATGGTTACATAAGTAACCTGAGACGTTATGTATGTACACTCAAAGTCTATTAGAGAACAATACTTAAAATTACGACTGTTTTTATATTTTATTGGTGCTTTTTATCCTTTTTGTAGCTTGGCAGTATAAATCACCTTTCTGTTTTGTTGTATGAAAAAAAATGGAGCATAGACACACTGTGCTTTTGTGTTTTATGGTAAAGAAATAGTACATTTGACTTACGTAGCATTGAAGGTTTATATTTGATCAGTTCTCGCATTCCCTGAGAATCAAACCCATGACTTTGGTGTTGCTAGTGCCATCTTTGAGCTACAGGAATGCATTATTTGGATACATATGCATTATTATTGATGGATAAAATGTAATGTAAATAATTGATAATAAAATTATAAAAAATTATTAGGGATGCACCGATACCACTTTTTCCAGTACTCGCCCGATACCGATACTTTTATTTTTGGTACTTGCCGATACCGAGTACCGATACCAATATTTTCATTGCATTTGTACATTTTTACAATATCGGTTACAGAAACCAAATGAGTATGTATAATGTTAGTTGGTTAACTTCATTTATCAAATAGATACAGTCAAACCAAAATTTATTCAGACACCTTCAACATTTCTCACATTATCACAGTTTATTCGCTATAGTTTAGAAAATGGTAATAAAATATGACAAGAACTCAGAGGTAAACTGTGTCAGAACAAATTCAGCTTGATAATGTCAGATAACTTTGATAGAAAGATATATAATGGATTACAATAAATCAAAAATTATTAATACAGCTGTCAGTATTTACACAACTATCAATACTTTGTCGGCTGACCCTTAGCCTTAATGACAGCATATAGTCCGCTATAAATCTCCTAACTGTGATATTTTCATAAATAGAAGTCGCGTTTTTTTCATCTGAAACGTGCATCGATTTATTTTCCAAAGCCACTCATATAATGCAGAAACACTCGCACCGCCGCACGCTCAATCCACTCAGCGTGATTTGCTTACCAGCTGGCGCAAATCAGCTATACAGGCATTAATACTGAATGTTTTATATTCATTGCATACATATACTTCGTAGACATCTTTAATATCTAATAACTCCATTCTGCTGTCTGTTGTGGTAGTTCTTTGTCTGAATATGGCACTTATTATCACATGCTGTGTGGTATCGACGTTTGGTATCGGGGCATTTTAACGAGTATGAGTACGAGTACAGGAGCTCAGTATTGGGCCCGATACCAGTATCGGTATCGGTGCATCCCTAAAAATTATAATGTTGTCTAAATGTATACATAAGCCAGCAGATCTTTTAATTAGATTGGATTTGTTATTTTAGTATTATTTATGCACTGTTGTAGTATTTATTAATATTTTTTAAAAAGTTAAATTTTCAGTTTCAGTTTTTTAAAATTTGTCAAATTAAAAAAAAAATTTTTTAAATCCCTGACAATTTTCAAGCGACAGCTGAAAACTCATCTCTTTCGAAGCTACTTGACTTCATCATCATCATTATAAAAAAAAAATAATAATTCTCTCTCTTTATTTATTCCTTCTCTTTCTAGCTTGTACTTATTTGAACAATGTCTAGAAACTTGGTATTACAAGCACTTCCTGTATCTGTTTGCCTCTTTAAGAAGAATCGCTTTATGTATCCCCCAATTGTAAGTCGCTTTGGATAAAAGCATCTGCAAAATGACTAAATGTAAATGTAAATGTAAATGTAAAATTGTAGTAATTTTGTCATGTGCTTTTGCCATGTTTATTAGGATTTTTTTCTCGTTTTTTTATATTTCTATATAAATTTTATTTTGTTTAATTTTTCATTTCAGTCATTTTAGTACTTCAACTTCAACTTATTTTATTTCAGCTAGTTGCCCAGGCAGCATTTCTTTCATTTCTTCTCTTTAATTTCTTTCATTTTAGTTTCTAATGAATTATTTAAAGTTTTTATGATAGCTTCATTTCTGTTTTAGTTTACAACAACACTGCATCAGATAAAGCATAATTTCCTGCATTTTATTTTCCATTTGAAGCTGATGTGAAAGAAGTTATTTTAAAATCTCTCTTCAGTCTTCAGTCTTGGTTGTTTGAATTCACACAAAAGTCATAGGAACCGTTTAAAGAGCACATGTAACTCCTCCTTCTCCTCATCACACTGTGATTTTGTTACTGCGCTAATAGTCACATTAGATTGGCTTAAACTGTTAGTGTAAGATGTAATGTAGGACAGTGGCGTCAGTCATTGGTTATCTGTAGAGTGGTCTCACTGCGCTGGACAGCAAGGCCTTTGTCTTTGAGAGGGCAGGCAAAAAAAGAAGTGGGTCGTTGTCCTGTGCCGTTTTATGTCCTGGTGTTGCATCGGGTGGGCATGAGGGGGCAGGGGATGGCACCGGGGGATATGAATGCCAGCAGGACAAGCCTGTCAGACTGGCACAGCCTGTCTGTTGATCATAGAGATGGGCACCATAGGAGACATACAGTGGCCCTAAAACTATTTAGATGCTCAAATTACACTAAAACAACATGCTTGATGCTAAACCTTTTCTCAAAAAAATTTTCTGAATTGCCTTTACAATTATCACCTGCTCTATTGAATCCCATTCCCACCAAATGCTTTGTTAAATCGGAATTATGACATAAAGTAAAAATTGAGATACTAAGACATAATTATGAGATAAAACTCTATGAATTCTAAAACGAATTCTAACATAAAAAGTCATGGGACATTAAAAGAATTGACATAAAAATACAAAATTATGACAAAAATGTAGAATTATGTCATAAAAAGTCAGTTATGACATTAAAAGTAAAAATTATTTGAAAGTCATAACATAAAGGACAATTTTTAACATGAAAGGTCATGACATTTTTTCTTTTACATTTTTTAAATGTAAAAATTAATAGATTATGACAGAAATCTTTAATGTCATAAATGCGACTTTATCACATAATTTTAAGTTTTTGTCATAATTTCAACTTTTTATCATAATTATAACTTTGTGTTTTTAGTATTTTTACATATTATTATTTGCCATTTCACAAAACAAGACAAGAAATTATGAGATGCAAGTCAGTTATGGTATTAAAAGACAAAATTATGAGACGTTTTATGTTTTTATGTTTTTTTTTTATTTTTTACAATGATTTTGACTTTTAATATCATACATTTCTATCTCATAATTTTGACATCAAAAGTTAAAATTATGAGATAAAGGTAATTATGTCATAAAATTCAGACATTTCTCTGAATATTATTTTCAGTTTTTGTCATGATTTCAACTTTTTATCATTATGAATTCACAAATGTAACATTGCAGATTGAGACTGATTTAACTGAGCTAACATGAACTGTAGTCTTACTGGAAAGGATAAATATTTGTAAATATAAATGTATGTTTCCCTTTGACTTGATAACTAGGAGGCAAAAGGACTTTCTGGTGTCCTTTCAGATGGACAAATGATTGTTTCTAGTATCACAATAAAGAACTTTATCTTACAGAATTTCAATCAATACTCTATTTTAGTCAAGGTCATCCCTCAAGTTACGGTGATGGGCAAAATACAAAGTATCTTGTTCTCAAAGTCAAACCCAGCATTCGTGTGTTTGTACTTAAATAGACCTTTGCAGAATGTGAAATCAGTGACATGGAGTAAACCAGCAAATGTCACACAAACAGTTTTTTCCACTTGTTAACACTGATCTAATGAAGTGGTGATTTTTCCCTACATGTTTCTGATTTGTTTCACTCTTGTTTGCAGCTGTCGGGCTCACTGGTGTTGGCTGTGGGATTATGGTTGAGGTTTGACCCAGACACGGCCAACCTCTTAGCCGAAAATGATGCCCCTGAGCACTTCTTCATTGGTGAGTTGGAAAAGAACGTTAAAGCCCACGTCAAATGTTTACATTACAGCTTTTGTAGGTTTCATAAACTGTATAAACCTAAGCCATAATATAGTGTCAGGAATGCAGACTTGCAGGGGTTATTTGGGGAGGAAATGGGCCATGTGTATATCTGTGAATGAGAGAAACTGTAAAAAAAAAAAAAAAAAAGGCCATGTGACAGACATATAAAATGACCAAACAAAGATTCCTTTCTTTTTCTTCATCATTTAGGAATGGGTTTATTTAAAACCGTTTATACCACAATAATAGACTGACATAGAGAAAAAAAAAACATGCAAGAAAAATAATTGCACAGTAGTGTTGGCCAGGATTATTTACTATTTCAGTAATTTTGCTATGTATGTGCATTTGTCATTTTTATTATTATAGCTACTTTTTTTTTTTATTTCAGTTTCTGTTTTAGTAATTTTAGTACTTAAGCTTATTTAACCTTACGCTTCGAGTTAGATGCCAAGACAACATTTTTAATTCTCATTGTAAGTTTAACTGTTTCATGTAATATTTTATTTTATTTTATTTGTTCAGTTTCCAAAAATGATTTTACATAGGTTTAGTTAACAATCACAACTGAAAAACAGAACAAAATACTTTGTAAACATGTAACCTTTGTACCCTGCCTTCTGGATGTTGCATAAAGCCATCCAAGAGCTCACAAGATTGAGAAAAACTTATTTTTTGTGTGTGCAATATATCAGACAGACGCTGAATAATCATTAAATACTTCCCTTTTTTTTGCTTGAACATGCTAAATTTGCCAATATGCACTACATAATGGGATATGTGTTGTTATGATCATCTGGCATTTATTAGTTCTACCATGGTACTTTATCTATATTATCAATCACAAAGCACAGAAACCGTCATAAGGAAACCCATACATTGCAGTTTCATTCATACAAGCACAACACCAACACACTATTAACTTCAACGGGCTTCACACTATAATCGGGCTTCAACGGCAATTTCAGGCTGAAATTTCCCATCTGCGTCATGGAGCCCTAATGGCCTCTGTAATGGCGTATCTGATATTGGTTCATTGGTCTTGTAGAGGACTGAAGCAGTAATTTGTTTATTTAAAAAGGTTAGTGGTCACTAGTTGTAAAATAGTGTTTAAGGATAGTTATTTGCTCATTTATAATCCGGCATCCTGATGTTTTTTCTGCTCGTGGTAGCAGTGAGATGATGTATATTGGCCTCTGGTGACTAGACTGCGGTCCTGAGCTGCATTTAAGCGCTCATAATGGACAAACTACTACTTTGCAAGTGCTAACCACAATGATTATGAAGCAAATTGCAATACTGGGTCATTAAGTCTTGACATCATATGCTCAGATACCCAGAAACTGAGCAGTTAGGTTAATCAGCACTGCTATAATCTTAAGCAGAAATGTTTCAATAATATGAAAAAGGAGAAGTGAGAGAAGCTCTGTGGATCCATCGCTGATACACAAGATAACAAGCATTTCTTGGCAATATACTTATACTTGGAACAAACAGTTTCTACCCAGAAACGGAAGATGTATCACTTGGCAAACAACTATGTGCTATGAAGCTAATGGAGCAGATGCGTAGCGACAAAAACAGGAAGCAAGATGGAGAATTCAACAAAATACAACAAAATAATATACAGATGTGTGCGTCTGCTTTTTAAACTATACATTTTATTTTTAAAACATTATTTATTAGGGTGTAGCGGTTCACAAAATTCAAGGTTCGGTTCGATACGACACAGGGGTGTCATGGTTTGGTATGTTTTCGATACAGCAAAAACAAAGAAATGCCAGACAAATTTCCTTGATTTTTATTTATTTTTATTATTAAAATATATTTATTTTTTATTATTAAGACTAGTATCATATGATCTTAAAAATATTTTAGACTTTGGAAGGCCTTTTGACTTTTGCCGTTTATCTAATTTGTATTTGTATTCGTTTTGTTAATAAATTAAACATTCTATGTTTAATGTAAGTGAGTTTGTCGTACTCTTTTGATGTTGTCAATTCAATCAATTGACCCCAAAATGCAGCTAGTTCGAAAGTGAAAGTAAAATGCGCATAAGCATTTACAAGCTATTTAAAAGCGAATGAAAGTGAGGAAAAGAGGGAAAACTCTAACGAACTACCTCACCGTCACAACCTGGAGTACATTATATTTCACACACTTTAAGCTCTTTTTTCCCCCAAATTTAATAGAATTACTCCAACGAATTGTTCGGTTTGTAATGCGTACCAAACCGAAAGTCTCGTACCGAATGGTTCAATACGAATACGTGTATCGCTACACCTCTATTATTTATACATTATTATTTTAATTTGATATTTGAATAGTTAACACTGGGATCTTTTATTTACATATTAAACACAGCATAACTCAGACTTCTTATTTAACTAAATACATTTTAGATGTAGATTTGGGTATCATGTGAAACGCAATATTTACCAGATACAAATTGCACTTATTTTAGCCACAGAAGTGGTGTTAGATTGTGATACAACGGATGATTGCGTTTAAGTGAGGTAAAAACCTAACATTAAAGCATTTTTTTTTTCCTGTTTTTGAAGTAGTATAATATTAGAAACTAAGTCTTGCTGGTGCAACAGTTTAATCTGTATTTGTGAAGATTTACTCAATTTAAATATAGGCACATATGTCTGTAATTAAATTTTGTATTTTACTTTTGTTATTTTTTTTAATAGTGTAAGTGAAATAAGACCCAACAAAATGCATTTTGGTCTAATTCTATTTAACCAATAAGATACCAATATATCGCAGACGTTAAAATATTAATTAAATAAGTGTCATCCTTCTGCTAGACAATGAAGTCATATATTTCTGCCTAGTGCTAAAGTTAATAGTTTGCCTCTGTATTTTGTTTTTTATATAGCAGCATTGCATCATATCTGTTGCTATATTATGCATTTTAGCAACAATGACTGGAACAATCAATTTTACAATAACAGTTGAAAGCTGACAGCCTGTGATCTTCCAGTAAACATCTTTACAGATGAGTCAAAGCTTTCCATGTGCTCATCTTTTTGCTTTTCTTGTTCTGGCGTCATTGCTAAACAACAATTGCCCATTTTCCGTGCTCTCAAGTCATGAGCAACTGAATTGCCTGAGTCCTGGCATGTTTAGATCTCTGCCCATTTAGAGATGTTCAGTGTTTGTGTTATAAGGAGGGCAGGAGGGCTGTTTATATGAAATGCCAGCATGTTTTCCATCCATTCGGCAATTAGGAAGTCGAGTAGTGAGGGCTTGGTGTTTTTAGCTTGCTGAACTCACAGAGGACTCGTGTCAAATCTCCTTTGTCCTGTCCTCGAAAACAACATTATTTTCTCCCTCGGGGATTAATTATTGTGTGTTGTGACGAGTATCTTCCCTGAGCCTTAATAAAACCTCAGTAAAGCTCCAGTGCTGTGCTTTTTGGAAAGCCGTCTGGTCTTCTTGTCTCCTTGGAGGATGGAAATGTCATATCTGAAATGTAAACCTGTGTTTAAGGGTGTAAACATGTTTGAAACGCTACATACTGCTGGCTGTTAAACGACAGGGATTGTAGTATATTTAGGCCCTCTGATTTTGCTCTAGTTGATCTTTTTTCCATTAATTAGTTTGGCCCTAGCTTGTCTAAAGTGGCTCTGAGTTGGCGGCGAGGGAAAGCAGTTGCTCGCGAGGGAGATTGCTCCATCCTAGCAACGGCGTCTCGAGTGACTGTGGCACACAGACGTGTAAGCGCCCTGCGTCTGGGGTGACTGAATTGTTGCTATGGTGAGTTACCTGGCAAGAAGAGGAGAATGACAAGAAGATCATGAAGATCCTGTAATCATGAATGTCCAGAATAGATCTGAAATGTTATGTCTTTAACTACAGCTTTACATTTTCTGAAGAAAATTAGAGTGGCATCGACACAATGCTAAAGTGTTGTGTCAGGGCATGACTAGGGAGTGTTTTGTTTGTCGGTTTTCAGGTCTAAAGATATACATTTGGTGGGTCTCTAAAGAAAAGCACCCAGCAATGATATTCTCAAGTAACTTCTATAATGTTTTCTTTGTATACTTAATTAACTTATTAAATAACAGCCATTCATTCTCAAGTGAAAAATGTGTAGCTTAACAATTACAAAGCCCAAAACAAAAATGAATATTCATTTTTAACTATTAGCCTATACAACAACTTTGCATAAATATAATGGAATACTAATAATGATGATGACAGTGATGAGGATTATTATCGTCATCATCATTATTACTATTATTAATACATTATATCTGTGCTAAGTTTAGCACAAATATAATTAAATTTTTGCATCCTAACAATAATAATTTAATCAATTATTGCAATTTTTTTTTTACTATTTTGCAAAACATTTTTGATTAGCAGAGTAATAAAACAACATAAATTATGAATATTTTATTAATAATGACAAGAAAATAATAACAACCAATAAATCTTTGCATTAATATAATAATATAAAGTAACAACAAAATTAAATAACAACAATAATGTTTTTTGTGTTTTTTTAATAAACTGGTCTTTTGTTCCTGGGATGTTGTATAGCTGCATAATTCATCATTTCTTAGAGCATCAAGTGGATGTTAACAGTAAATTGAGACTGTTAACAGACTGTGATTGAGATGACCAATGAAATTTGTGCTTAACTGGTTTGGGGGGAAAAAATCTCTCCGGTAAATACGATTATGGTCTCAGGGCACTGGTTGAGCTTGTGGTGTCTGTGTGTGTTGTGCACACAAAGACTGTTTGTTTCTGTTGAGCCGAGGCCTTTGACACGCTGCTTGTTGGAGACACGTGAGGAGACACATTTCACACAGTCTCAAACTTCTCTGCATACAAGATGCAAAACACAAGAATTGCAGTGTGATTTTATGCCTTGTGCTTTTGCGTGGGATTGTAGTTTGCATTGCGTGGGAAAGTACCGTAACACATAAGGGTGATTTTGATTTTGACCGTCTGTCAAGAAATGCCCACAGAACCTTTATACAATTAGAATCAGCTGCTTTCATTCTCAATCATCTAAAAATACACCTGGGTCCACATTCATAAACCATCATGAAGTGAGAATGCTGAGATAGACTGGTTTTACATCAGTGATCCTAGAAAACTGCAAAGTAACAGAGAGAACTAGATTGCACATCGAAGTTTAATAATAAAGGTTTGTTCATGTCTTTTACCTAATAGTTCTCTATATCAGCCATTTTTTTCATCCTTTAAGGTAATGAATAAGCTGCTTGTTTTCATTTTTTATTCACAGATTCATTTTTTATTCACAGAAACTAGAAATGGCAATATATTAAAATCATAATCATACATAAATAAAATTAAAATAATTACATAAAGTACTCTTTATGACCAATGAATGTAGGATTGTTAATGTTAACTAAAAATAAAAATATTATAAACATTTTTGTTAATTGAAATGAGGCTGAAATAAAATAAAATATAAATATTAGATGAAAAACAAAAAAAAAAGTAGCCTTGGTGTTGAAGCGCTAAGATAACTAACTGTAAATGAATAAAAACTAAAACTGAACTAAAAATAAAACTGAAATAAAAATAAATTAAACCTAAATAGTAATTTTTTAAAAACCCAGAAAAAAAATTACAAAAGTACATTAAAAAAAACGTACAAAAAATTTAATTTTATTTGAAATCTGAAAATATGACAATAAATACTAATTCAAAATATTAATAGAAAACTATTATAGTATATAAATAATAATAAAATAACACTGTAATTATTTGTACTCACAAATAGAATTTTCTCAGCAGTTTTTACATGAAAATAAAATATTTAATTAATTAATTTTTTTATTTATTTAATATTTAGATAGATAGATAGATAGATAGATGAGTGGACTGACAGATAGATAGATAGATAGATAGATAGATAGATAGATAGATAGATAGGGACAGTACAAAGAACATGAATCCAGCCGAAAAGCTGAAAAATATCCATTGTACATAGAGAATATAGCATATGCTAATTTGCATCTTAGAGCTTAGAGCTAAACATAAATAGAAAATATTATTTTCATTTATTTGCCCTTTGGTTGAAAACCACTATATCCACATTTGACATCCACATACTCACATTTTACAGTTGAAAATGAACAGATGATTTCATTACACAGGTCTTTTCATGTTCTGCCATCATCTGGTCATACAGTGAACTGCATGCTGGGATGTTTGTGGACTGAAGTTCGACTTTCAATAGACTAACTCTAAACATTACACTATACTCCTGGCTTCTCCTCAGCGGTGTACATCCTGATCGGAGCGGGAGGCGTCATGATGTTGGTGGGGTTCTTCGGCTGCTTCGGGGCCGTGAGGGAGTCGCAGTGTCTTCTGGGATCGGTGAGTAAGAACTACGCAACAGTAAATGAACAAAACACTGTTCCACCATCCCCATCTACAGCCTACATGCACACTGATTGTTGTGACTGCTTTAAAGCACCACTTTTGTGATTTCTTCAAGAATAAAACGGACCTTAGGCTCTGCTAGATTTTATTGGAAAGAGCACAGGCTAAGCCTTAGTTTGTTTATATGAAGATATTTATTTGTATTTGTATTTTTATTTTTTTTTAATTGGGATCAGTTTAGTTATTGGACTCCTTTTCATTTATAAACGGTATTAAATCTCATTTTGTAAAAAAAAAAAAAAAAACCTCATGAAATCAGTATCGTGAATCCTATCGCATTGTGAGTTGAGTGAATTGTTACGTCCCTAAAATGGACCCTGTTTACTTTCTCAATACATGTTTCTGGTCTGATTGTGCACAGCCCATCAGTTAAAATTATAAAATAAAATAAGTAATAACCCTATTGATATCCTGTGATATAATACTGTTGATTTGCAATTAGTATTGACAAACTAAAGTGAAGTCTCTTTGTTGTCTAGTTCTTCGCTTGCCTTCTTGTAATTTTTGGCGCAGAGGTTGCTGCTGGAGTCTTTGGCTTTCTAAATAAGGATAAGGTATGTCACACACTGTATCAATCATTTTATTGAACGTAAATATGAACATCTGTAATCTAATGATGTGATATGATCAGATACTCTCACATGTTTCTAGATCATTCAAGATGTCCAAAACTATTACCAGTCTTCTATGGAAAATGGCAATGGGACTGCTATTGTATCCATGTATCACAATGTGGTAAGGCGAGCTTTTGTTTTACAGGCAGTTAGTAAATGATCTGTGGCTATAGTGGCAGTATCGTCATCATCTTCTGACATTTTTGTTCTTCTTTCACAGCTTGAATGCTGCGGGTCTGAGTCCTCTCCGTCTTCTGGACTGTGCATTGCTGAAAGTCCTGTCACTGTATGTTCAAATGCACCATCTGTTTTTGAAATATGTATTTGAACACAGATCTGAAGGAATCTCTTGAGTTAGTTGAAGGGAGTCATAATTCAAAGCCTTAAATTTCCTTTTGACACATGATCCAAAGGCAGGTCATCTGAGAAGTTTTTCATCCATAATTACGTCTAGGGCTGTCTACGATTCTTCGATTAAATTCGAGCACTCGATTATAATAAATCCTCGACTGCATTTTGCCCGTGTCGTTTAACCGGTAAAATGTGTGGCACATTCCACGGACGAGAATCCATGAAAAGCATTATTAGACCGTTTTCTAAAGCTGCATGAAATATTAAAAATCATAAGAAAGCATACTGCTGATTTAATATGCGCTTTATTTATACGCGTGTAGGTTACGTGCATCTCCGAGCGGCTCACAGTAAATGCTGCTCCACACAAACAGGTATTATTTACATGCATAAAGCGTCTCAAACAAATCTCTGCAAATGCTGTGAGTCTGAGTTGCTTATAATGTTCATCTGGGAACAATGTGCAGCATCTTATCAGATTTATAAGGTAAATCATTTATAAACCTATGCCAACATCTTTCTCAATATGCGAACTGTTCATCACGCACCCTCGCACTGAGTTTGCATGTTCTGATGTCCACGTTCTTGTTCAAGAAAGGACAGTGGCTGTTTCATTTCTATAATAAATAAGTGGCCAAATATTAAAGATTAAGTGGACATTTGAATTATATGTTGTTTGGTCAATATCAAACAAGGATTAGATCGCACTGTAAAGTGTAAAGACATTTGTGAGGCTGTTGGCGCCCTCTGCAGGCATTTGATATAATACATAATGCCCATAAGTTATAATTATGTTTTATTATATTATGTATTTTAACTGTTTTTTTTTTTCATTAAAACCATATGATTACTTGCTTTTGATATGCTTATATCTTACATCTTGATGTCTTATTTGAACAAATTATTATTGCCTCATTGCTATTATATATGTATTTTAAGTCATTTTAAAGTCTATTGTTCACTTAGGTTTATTTTTATTACCACCAAAAAAATAATCTGATTACTCGATTAATCGTCAGAATAATCAACCAATTACTCGATTACCACGATAATTGTTAGTGACATCCATAATTGTGTCTTTATAGGCCATGAAGCTTATTTTGTTTAAAAAGTAAATATGTATTTTTTTGTCCAGAGAAAGAAAATTTTAGCCGTTTTCCCCCATGTATATTTGCAGCACAAGCCATTGTGTGTCAACCAGGCACAAAGCTTTTTAGTGCTGTTTTGACTCACAAGCAGGACATGTTTCAGACTGAAGTGATGAGTAGTTCTGACACAGGCCCTTAGATGGCGCCATGTTGTTCTGCACGGTGTATAAGGGAGCGAGGGAGGGAGGGGTGCGGGACACAGAACAGTGGAGTGAGGAGGTAAGAGGGGCTTAGAGAGAGAAATGAAGCAGACAGTGGCAAGATGTCCCATGAGTCACTTGATCCGATAAGCCCACAGGGGCACAAAGGCGCCAGTTTTTTTTTATTTATAGCAGGCGGGAAGACACATTGATCGGCTGAGAAACATGATGTCACATTGTGCTTCAGTTGTCAAGTTCCTGCTGTCAGTTGATCCCAATCAGCAAAGCACATTAGAGAAAACCAAACCGCAGCAGCATGTTTACACAGTGTTTACAATGGCTAAAGAGGATTGAAATTAACTATTAAAATATATTTTGTGCACCACAACTATTAGCTGCAGCCCTGTGTGTGTGTGTGTGATATAAAATATAGCAATATTGTGAAATATTTTTACCATTTAAAATACGTGCTTTCTATTTTAAAATATTTTCAAATGTAATTCATTCTTGACGCAAACTGAATTTTCAGCATCATTACTCCAGTCTTCAGTGTCACATGACTTTTCAGAAGTCATTTTAATATGCCGATTTGCTGCTTAAGAAATGTTGAAAACAGTGGTGCTGCTTAATATTTTTATGGAAACCGGAATACATTTTTTTCAGGATTATTTGATGAGTGGAAAGTTTAAAAGAACAGCATTTATTTGAAACAAATCTTTTGTGACAATGTAAAAGTCTCACTGACTGCTTGCAAAAATTAACTTAAAAACAAGGTGTTATTTGGTGTGCAGTCAAATCGCTCATTATTTTCTTTTTTTATTTTAATTTAAACAATCATAAAATAGTCAGTGCCCATATCTGCATAATTTGGCAGGAAACACGGTTGTGCATAACAATGATTTGTACATAGTTCAATTCCTAAATAAGCAATTCAATAATCAATTACAATTGTTGGTTATAAAACATGCATATCTCTGCTATCTTTGATAGTGGTTCATCCAATCAGATTTCAGAGCCAGAGCTATTCATTTTCTAATCAGTAGAACTGAACCGATGTTGTGTATGTATGCTGTTGTTGTAACATTATTACACTACATCAGTTTGCCACACTCAACTAATGTTCTTTTGAAATATTTTCAAGGATTGTAACACAGCTATAGAAGACTTCTTTAACGAAAAACTCTTCATAATCGGATATGTTGGCATCGGCATTGCTGGAATTATGGTAACAAAATGCATACAAACTTCTTTTTGTGAAATGTGCTTGAAAAGTCTGGTCAAATGTATTTGTATGGTGATTTTCACAGTGCATTGTTTCAGAGCAGCTTTACAGAAAATTAAGATGTTAAAGGATATTATATCTTAGTATCTTAAGTGTGTGTGTATATATATTTGTGGAAAAGTATATACAAAATGTGCATGTTATCTTTAATATTAATGATACTTGATTTTATATTTTATAATGCAGTGACCTTCATATGTACATGTGGCTTAAGTGTTCAAATGCTTTTTGGGAACACTGTAGCCTATATTTGTCATATTTAACATTTGAACATTCCCTCTCTGTTTTGGCAGATAATTGGCATGATCTTCAGCATGGTTCTATGCTGCGCCATTCGGAACAGCAGAGAAGTTATTTAGGTTCCTCGCGGTTCCCCTCTCACCCAGTTGGACTGTTTCAAAGCCCGCCGTCTTTGACCTCATCAGACCATCACATTCAGGCTCGGGAAACGGGTGGAGGAGCTCCCATGAGGCAGTGTGGGTCTTGTGGTACTGTTTTGTGAACAGCGTTCTATCTCTGATTGTTTCTGTCTTTTCTGTTACTTGCATTGTTTGATGATGACCTCCACTGCATGGACTGCTACTGTAACCGCATTAACCTTTACATTTATTTTGTCTTTATTTATTACTGAACCATCATCACAAGGGGGAAACTTCACAGTGTACGTCTTGCTTTTTTCAAACTTGAGCCTTCAGTTCAGACTTTCACAGTGAACGGGACATTTACTTGCTGATGTAAATAAGCTCTCTGCTGCCTCACTGATCGACTACTTTTCATGTTTTTTTTTAATGTTATATATTGTGTGAACTAGACCAGGTTTTTGTGCTAATAGATAATGGGTCATATGTTTGTGTTTTGCTGGTTATTAATATTTGGTTATTGTAATTTTGCTTTGAAAAATGAAGCTGAGAAGCAGATTGAGTCAACAAAGTCAACATGAACTTTTAATTTCATAACATTTCAAGTTTTATAGTGAAAGGTTCATCAGTGCATGGTTTTCCAAACAAAACAATTAGCTTCATAATTTTATCAAAACTTAACTTGCTCTTTTTCTCTGAAACAGCTTTTTGACCTCGCTCCTGTGCTATTGGTTAATATTAACCAAAAAAAACCATCAGTTTAGGCTACTATCGTAGGCCACATTTTTTAAATATTGCCAGTAGTAATTTAATGTTGATTAATAGTAATATAATAACGATTGCAGCAATAATAGCAAGAGTTGAAAAACGGGAGGAAACTCAACTTTCAACCTCCGTGTTCCAGACAATAAAAACCTTAAAATTGTTTGATTCATGTTGACTTTTTGAAGTGTCACTGGTTTAATCTTTTTTTTTAAAATCTGGTTAATGCATATTACTTTCCTTACTTGGCTGATTTTGAATCTGTAAAGTTCAAACCCCAGTTTTCAGGGAGATCAACAATACCACTGTAAAATTGTAAAAACATGTCAGAAGTAAATCTTCAACCATTTCCTCTTTTTCTAGCTTTTGCAGGTCTGTTCAGGAATGTGACCCACTAGTTTTATTGTTCTATGTGCCTTTATAACAGACGAAGCTGCATCATAAACGTTTGCAATTACAATATGCACATTTTTGGAGTTGCTCTTAACGTCAAGTAGTTTTTTTTTTTTTTAAACCGTTTCATAGCATCGTGTTGCATGTAAATGGCTTTGAAACAAGAAACTATGGTCATAGGGCATGAAAGCCTGAGCAACATTAAAACAGCGCTCACAAATAAACATTTGATTTATTTTTATTCATTTTTGTAATGTTGAATTAGACCATTGCATTAAACAGAAATTAATACATGTTGCATTGAGGCGTCATTGTAGGAAGATGTTAATACTGTCATCAAACAATCACAGCACTGAAACATACAGCCTTTTGCTCAAGGCCAGGTCCCTCAAACTTTGTGAAGTTTGTCTTTCATGTTAATTAAGGCAAACACATGTCCTGAAAATAATGACCTACGCTCTGGGATCAGAAATCCCTGGAAGCTAGTTGTAATACATGCTGATCCATGTAACAGAAAAGAAAAATAAACGCACGTCTTAAATAATTGCATAAATACGATATGCATCAAATGTTAGGCTGTTTTAGGTAGCCATTGCATACTTCATTTTTAGACTGCACCTTGTGTACCTTCACCAAAATCAGCTCAGAAACTGAAATGGACCATGATGTGCATCTGATGGAATGAAACGAAATGAAAGTCAATGGCATTCCCTAAAACGATGAACAATTTAGAGTTACAAGGTATGAAAGCTTTAAAAGCATTAAGTAACCCAATTGTTTAGACACTGAAAACAGTGACAGGAACATAAATACACAGAAATAAATGAATTGAAAAAAAAAAATGTAATACAAAAAGATTTGTAGATGAATTGAAAAAAAGTGTCAAGAAAAACAGTGTCATTACAGTGACACCAGTCTCCCTCATTGAGGGGAAACCTTCACATATGCTTCAAGAAAACGTAAGCACGTCAAGCACTCTCCTCCAGACATATCCTTACCAATAAGCGCAAAACACTGGCCACAGCCCATCAAATAAGCCTGTAAACAAACCATAGAGGAAATGTGGTAAGGCTGGAAAAAACTCACAGTAACTTAACCAGAGCAGAAGTTGTCGTTCTCTCGACAACTCTACCATCTTGATTAATGTTTATCTTCTCTTGTAAATGTACAGTTGGTTGTGTAGCTGCCACAGTCTGAGAGGTACTGGGGTCTGTTCAGTCAGAGATTAGCTTTAGGGAGGACTGGCTCATGATAAACTCTCCCACGCCGATGAAGTACATGACCTGTACGATACCGAACAGTGGCGCGATGACTAGAGCCCTGCAGCATGCTCCCTTCAGGAAAGCAGATGGCCCTTCTCGCTTCATGATCTTGCTGTAAGAATGAAAAAACAAGCAAAGGTCACACACTGTAGATGATATACTCACATTCCAGAATTACAAATCAGTTAAATCGTAACATTTAAAACACATTATAGGACTAATGCATTACCCGAAACAGTCAATTATGCCACTGTAGGTTTCCTCGTTGGCTCCTTTGCTTAGAGACTGCAGCCTGGTCTTAACCACTGCCAAATAAGATAAAAAATGGTGAACATGCATTTTTTAAAAGGTGTAAAGGTGAAAAAGGGCTAAAGAGGACCAAAAACAACTTTTACCATCACATGGGTTAACGGCAACAGCAGCTGTGGAGCCTGCGACACATCCAGAGATGAATGACCAATAAAATGGTGCAGCCTCATCAGGGGAGGGCTTACCCAGCTTGTTCAAATTTGCAAAGAGAGGGAAGTAGATGACCGAGAAAGGTACATCTCTGAATAAAAGAAAAAGAAAAAAAACTCATTACTATGAATGTTTGCATTTAGTGTTGTTACAGTAAAAATTTTACAACGCATTACCTCAATAGTGTTGCACCAAGGCCTTTGTAGAGCCCCTGAATGCCTTGAGTGTGCAGTAACTCTCTTGCGATCTGGGTGGCAGATGGGTGAGGTGAGGTGTTGGGCACCACATTGTAGGAGCGACTCAACACTGTGTTTGTGGTCGCCAGTCTATTGGGAGGAATGATGCATGGTTTTCTCTGCTGAGTGGCTGTGAAGATGATCGGAAAGTTGTTACTACAGCTAAATGACTGAGTGAGTAATACAACTACACTGTACTCATAATATTGCAAAACAACCCCAACAAACATTGATGCCAAATGACACAACTGACCAATAGAATCAAGAATACTCAATAGGCTAGATTTTATCGCTTCTTTAAGCGCAAAAAGGAAACCTACCTAGTCTCCCAGCATCCTGTAGTTGAATTTTCAGCATCTCCATAGGAGTAGTGACGATAACCTGGCACATGCCCGCAGCACATCCAGCCAACATCTCTCTAAATACAGTCAGCCCTCTCCTGTAACAAACAAGGACATGATTATAGATGTATATTTTATAAGAACTGCATTTGAACAAGCACTAATAAGTGCAGCAGTAGCTAACGTACCCATCTTTGGAAAGGTGGCACCGGAAGAAGTCATTGGCAGCCAGTTTGATGGCCTTCTCAGGAGTGACCAGGGTAAGATTAACCGCAGCGCCTAAAAGACAAACAAACAGAGGGTTAAAGAAAACTACATCCCAACTGATCACAGATCAGCAAATACACATTCCCCACCACCATCAAACCAGAGATAAATCTACAACATGACCTTATCAAATACCATTTAAACAGATAAAAATGCTACTAACAGACTAAGAATATAAGCAAAGCTTATGAGAGAACTGTGAGCTGATGATGGAGGGGGATTTGACAATGTGAACAAAACCAAAAAATTAACTAGTTATATAAACAAATAGAGTGGACAGAAAAATAGGATAGAATATTCAGATAAATGTAGTGAAACAAAAATGAATGCAGGCACATTCCAGAAAGAGAGTGACATTAGGGTTGTGCAGTATCACGGTAAATAATAGAAGAGAAATGTATCAGCAGGTAGATTTTGCTGTGCTGTTTATGCAGTGATTAATCTGCAAACAACAGAGAGAAATACAGCCTATTCTCCAAACAGCTGCTTATATTAAAAACAGCTTTGTGTAGTTTTGATGTGTTGCACGTGCAAACTGTAGTTTTAATATTAGTCATCTGATGTGAGGTCACAACAGCTCCAAATATTATTTATAATGTAAAAAAATAACGTAATTTTTTATAATTTATTTATAATAAAAAAAGACAAAGCAGATAATGAGCGTAAGTGATGATGATGAATATCCAACAAAACTTTCTAGATGTTAACAGAACATGGCAAGATGGGTTAGTACTGACTGAATGAGACAAGAGCAAGGACAGTGAAGAAAGTGGAGGAGAAAAAAACAACAACAAAGAAACAAGAAGCACAAAAGTAAATATCAAAATTCAACAATTATGTATAAATAAAACAAAAATTGGTGCCTAATTGTAATAGAGCAGTGTGAGTAAGAACCATGATAAATGATTTGCCTCCAGCGTGGCTGCGCCTTATCGGCTAGCCTTCACTATCCCAGCGGGGACCCATGTCTGTAACATGAAAAACACAGATGCAAACAACAGCATTCCTCACAGAAATGGAGACCCGGCACAAAACACCGACTCCAATCTCCTCCAAACTCTACAGATAACACTCTTCAAGGATACTTATAGTGGTCTACTGAATAACTGAAGCCAAACAACCGATCTACCAAATGTAGTAATTACAACATGTTTGATTTGCTTCATTTAAAAGTAACCCTCTGATGCATTCATTATTAAATCTAAAATAAAAAAAAGTTTCTTCATACTTTAAAACACCATAAAACCATGTCCTACTTATGAGTACATTATTTTCTTGAATTTAAAATAAGTATTTTGAGAGATTGATCCATTAACATTATAAGCTAATGGTTAAATATAATGGGTAAATATTATAGCTACTTATGCAAGATGTGCTGTCAAGAATAAGCACAGTCATGTAGAATTATGGCTGAAGGTCAAATAAAAATCACCCCAAGGTGGTTTGGACATAAATGGTTAAAATGCCACTATAAGTGCACGCCATGCATCAGAGGGTTAAAAAATAAAGGGTTATGTACTACTCTAGGCTGTCATTGTGGCCATTTACCAACACAACGTGTAGTCTGAACAGTTAAAAAAAAAATTAAAGTTGAACTAAGAATTCTGTATACGTTGGGAAAGTGCTTAAATATTGCTATTTCAGTGCTACAAATAGCAAAAAAAAAATTATTAGTTTGAATTTAACTACCACCAGCCAAGCTATTC